GGGTGCAACAATGACAATTTGATTTTTATTATTAAAAATGAAGTGCTTAAATCCTCAAAGAAAACGGCTTTATTGCATTAGTTTAATAAAGCCTCTTTTTTATTATGGTATCTGTTTTTATGAGGGAAGACAGGATGTGCATGCGGATCTGAATGTGGATGCATGAGGAAAAGGAGGCAGAGAAAGACCGACCACCTGCAGCCACAAAGTGCCACCATTTGTATGACATGTATGTCAGACCTTTATCCTGAAATATGCTGGGAAATGAGCAAAGACACACAGCTTGTGCACACTGTAGATCTGTGCCTTTGCTTCCAAAGCTCAGGACTCCTGTGCATCAGCTGAGCAGGCAGCAGCCACCTCCAACAAGCACTCATTTCTGAAAGCCTGACTCACATGCTACTTAAGATCTTTCATTCAGCCTATTGAATACAATTAAGTTAATTGAAACTGAAATTTTGGGCAGTGCAAAACCCACTGTTGGAACAAATATCCCATGTACCAAAAATCTGCAATTTATTAAAGTAAGCACTTCCCTTACAGACTGCCTTCTTTCCTGTGAGTACAACAGAACACTGCTTGTGCCACATTACACCCAAGAATAAAACAAGCAGGCAGCATGAAAGGGTTTCATGCTATAAGAGAGAGTTTTCTATGAGGGTAAAAACCAACAAAAACTCCCCCCAGAAACCCAAACCAGAAGCCTGGCTAATTGAAAGTCTGTGCACAATGGGGCAGACACCATAGCAATGAATGCAGCATGACTGTCTCACTAGATACCAGACAGAGAATTAAAGCTCCTTGTGTTGCTCTCATTTGAGTTAAAGGGAAAATTATTTGCCAGAGGAATTCTGTCCAGGATTTGGCTCAGAAGCAAACAGAGGTGGAAGAGTCAGTTATTTCAACAAATCATATTTCTGATCTTAATGCCTTGTAGAGGACTCTTTTCTGAACCTACCCCTCTTTGGGGGAATTTTGCCAAATAAAGCAGAATTAAAACAAGGAGTCACAACCCAAAGCCTCACTTCCCTAGCAACCACACTCCTGCTGTCAGAGCTCCCAAACCTTCTTATAGCTGACCTGTGACACCTTTGTATGCCAACAAATGTGTCACTGGTCACCTATAAGAGGGTTTGGAGCACCTACAAGAAGGTTTATAGCACCTATAAGAGATATTTCCTTCTTCCTCACTGTGGAACCCTAGACTTGCCTGCAGTTCCACCAGAAGTTGGGGCAACACCCAGCATCAATCCTGTGTTCCCCTACACCTCAACCCACACCTGCAGCCAAGGTGTGACCAAATTCCTTGACCATGGAGGATCAGCGAGCTTATTTCATCATAAACTTCACTACATCTGAAGCTGGAGGAGTTTCCTCCTCCTCAGGCTGTTACTTCCTTTAATCCAAAGAAATGTGGTTGGCACCATCTACCCAGGCAGGATCTGAGCTGGGTGTGTGCTGCTTCCCCATCTGCAGGCTGGGAAGCCAACACTGCCACATGGAGCTACTCAGGGCAGGAAGGAGGGAGCAGTGCCCTTTGGGAAGAAGGTTACAAGCAGCCTGGACGTGATGGTGTTTTTATCCAGATCTCTTTGTATCTAGTCTCACAATGACTTGATTTAAAAAGCCTCTGATTCAAGAATATTTCCCGTTTCGGAGGCTGTTCAGTTAAACAAGCACTGGCCACTCGCCCAAACATTTTACTAGTTTTGGCTATTTTATCACAACACTGGCAAAAACAAAAAAAAAAAAGATGCTTGAAAAAAGAGAAAGATACAAACCGAAACACTCCTTTAGTCTGTAGGCTTTGCAGTGCACTGGGCACTTCCAAGGAGAGCAGCAGTTCACTGATCAAGTGATTTAAATTGTCTGGACTCTTTATGAAGAGCCCAATAAACTGCCTTGACTACAACTTCAAGAGCCTGCAGCAAAGAGGAATGCTGAGCAAACCAGGAAAAGAATAATATGTTCATTTTCTTTATGCAGAACAGGATTCAAATTACCTATTTTCCAGTTTGTATTTTGAAGAGTGGGATCACTTCAGCCCCTCCAGACATGCTGAAAAGCTTTCCAGCAAAGCATAAGGTGCATTTTCATGCAGTTCCTTTTAAAATAGTCCTCTTAGTCCTACTTTGTCCTGTAACCAGCATCATCTATCAATTTATCAAAACATTACAACCTGCAATAAGCAAGTTCTGGTTATTACAACCTTTTGGTTGCAATCTGAATGCTATATCAGGAGACAATAAACTGAAGGATGGTACAAGGACTCTGCCCCAAAGATGGGCCAAACTCCATGTGTGTATTCTCCTCCAGGAAGAAGTTCATAGCCCTGGCCATCAGGCCCCCTCGTCTTGCCTCCCCTTTCTCAGTATCTCCACTGGCCAACACATGCTTTCAGGGGCCATCATCACCTAGAAGTTATCCTGATGTAAAGACAATGCAGGCTTCAGCCAGGTAGGCATTTTTTGAGAACTCCAGCCTGCACTGGACCAGTACTGCACTGTACTGACAGCCTTTTGACTTCACTGCACTGCTTGAGACCAAGGAGAGACATCAGCTCCCTCTGTGCACTAAAACCTCCTCACCCTCTACAGTATGTAGGGAATGTACAGAACTTGTCACACAGCCTGAAGTGCTTTGTTTTCATGTGTGCAGACAACACGGCCACAGGTATAAGCAAATATTGCTGTCTTTAGTTATGTATTTCCAACTCCAAGAGGTAGATCTGGATGTTTCACAAACCATATAATTTCATCTCTCCATCTTCTGACCCTCCTCACGTTGTCCCTCCCACACATACATACAAGTGTCAGCCACTTGTTCCGATGGATTTAGCCTAGTTTGGATCAAAGCTTCCTCTACTTCATTTAACAGATTTGCTCAGATGGAAGGTCTCAGGGGAGAAATAATGTTAGTAAGAAGGGGCTTTTCAGCACTGAGTATGTAGGTCATTGGACTTTAAAATAAATTAGAGAATAGTTTATCTATTAAACAAGCCTCACAGTACATATTTCATGAAGCTATACTTAATTATAGGCTAATGTGCACCACAGAGCTACCATGAAGAAAGATTAAGCAGTGGCCCATAATGCAGTGATTAATGCCATTATTAGCTGGCTGGCACACAGCATCTATTATTTGGTACCATCAGGAGAAACAGCAGACCTCCAGTTTCCAATGCTGGCACTTCAGTAAAATGCAACAAACTCAAACCTTTCCAGAGAGAAACACACGCCTCTCTGTACCTCAGAGGCAGTAGGGGGGATGCAAGCAGGTGAGAGTAGACCTGGAATTTCCACTCCAAGTGTCTTTTACAGAGTTTGCTTCTCTACCATGGATGTGTGGGAATATCCCACACCTGCTATTATGCAGTGCAATACTGACTGCCTGAGCCCCTCTTCTAAATACCCTGAGCAGTTTCTGATGTGAGGGGAGCTTGATTTAAGCTGGAATTAACAGCTGAGGACATGGAAACCTAAGTGTGTATCTACACTCTTTTGCTCCAGGGATGGCTCCTGGGGACATGATGCACCCTGTGTAAGACCACTGGTCTTCTGTATTAGGGCACTGCTGACTAACAAAACACTGCTGAGAGATAAGCAAATCTTTTATGAATGCTGTAAGGCTTGCCTGTTCTGGAATCAGTATTTACATCATATTATTTGTGATGGAGGGCTGAGAAGCAGGTAATACCTTTCTTGTTGGGGAATGAGCCTTTGATTTAGTAGTAGATTTGGGCACTACCAGCCCAGGTCTCCCAGTGTAGCTAAAGGAGAGCTTCATGCTCCTTGACAGTGACAAAACCCTCACTGGCAATGTTATTGCTGACCTCTTGCTCCAGTTCAGAATATGTCATTCTGTCAATACCATCCACCTTGATTATACCAGGCTTTATATACAACAGGTTATGATCCCAGAGGGATGAAAAGCTTTTCCAAATTAAAAGCAGCATTTTAAAGAGGAAATACTCATACATTCCTATGTAGTTTTCATTTGATATCCTCCAGGCTAACCCCAGAACTCAAGTGGTTTTTTTTCTGAGTGCAGCCATCTTATGAATTTAATGGAAGAAGGGAAGTAATAAAATGTGCTCCATACTTTAATTAGTTCCCTCATAACATGGCATTTCCAAAATGGCAGTGCCAAAGAAAACCATTAATCTAGGAGAACAGATGAAGGCACTGTACGGGGCAAGGGACAGACCTCCTAGAGATATACACTTCCCCTTTTCTTCTCTTGCTGGTGAATCTTACCTCAAATAACAATTCCAGCTACACAAAAGAAATTCATACCAATATTGAATATTAAGCCACTTTCCATTCTTAAGCCTTGCTACAGAGTATCAGAATTGAGAGATCACATGTTGTATCCTGCAGGATAAATGTAAATGGCCTGTCTTTCCCAGCACACATTCACCCTGGGTACTCCACGTGCCAGGCTTAAGCTGATACTACCATGCAATCACTTCAACATCTGCATTTCACTAGGTGAGTGAGAGAACCTGTCAGATGCATGAAAGCAAACAACAATCTGCCACAAAAGACAGATCCTTTTCCCAGCATACCTTCCTTACACATTTCTTGTGGGAGCAGCCTCTGGCAGCAATTGTGGCAGCACAGGAAGGAACTGAGGAAGCATCAGAAGGAATCCCAAAAACACCTCTGACTCTCAGTCTCTTATTACTTCTTCCTGGCAATCAGGCAGTGGCAAATATGGAAGTTTAAAACCACAGAGAGGAGCTCAAGGAAGAACTCCCATGAGCAGAATGACTGCCAGAGAACAAAGCTCAGGTAATGGCACAGGAGTGGCCAAATGCAAACAAACAGCTGTTCCAGGAAGAAACAGCCTTGTTCAAAACTGACAAAGAGACTGGAGAGCAAACTGAGAGTGGTGTGACCTGTTTGTATGGCATGCCCCCTGCCCTGACCCGCAACAACCATACAGCCCCACAAGAGTCACAGCTTTGCCCTTCTTGGTTACAGAACAGAAATGGATACCTGTGTGCGGTTGAATGCTACTCTTGCAAAGACAGCTTGAGACACACTGGCTCTCTTCAGCTCATCTCTGACTTGCTGGTAAATATCTGGAGAGACTTCCACCGATGAATTTGATGGCTCTGGTTTGACAGCTCTAGGGATGGGCGGATGATTCAAGAACTGCTGGTTGATAGCTTGTGGGTGCTGGTGAGCCAACAGTCGGCTGACAGCAATCTGCTGGTTTATCAGATGGGCCATGGCTATCTGCTGCCTCACCAGTTGTGGACTGAGCTGAGGAGACAGGAGCCCAGGGTTTATCATGGTTTGCATCGTTGGCACTTGGTTTCTGATTGGAGTACTGTGGTGAATTTGGCCATGAGGAGACTGTTCATTAGATTTTCCCAAAGTTGCCAGCTGGTTGATATTTGGTAAGTGCATGGGACGTTGACCAAGAACACAATAGTCTGAAAGGTTTTCTCTTTCCACTCTTTCCACTGTTAAAAAAAGAAAAATTAGCTTGCTGTCATTTCAGTTTGCACTTAGGGCAAGGATTATATTGCAGGTGACTGCACACAACAGCACCTGCTTTACTTTGTAAGTCTAAAATTGCATAGATATATCATAGAAACATAGGCAAAAGAAACACAAAGTAAAAGCAACAAGAATAATTCACATTCTTTCAGACTTCCCAGGCTTCATCCACAGCTCACGAAGACTCCTTATAACCAACAGCAAGTATCCTTCCCAGCCTCCTTCCCTGAAAAAAAATGCTTCGACACTTCCATTTATGTTGTTACTAACATTTGAATTTGTCACAGCAGATTGATTAACCTTTAAAAGTGGTCAGTGTTTCAGAATCACTGGAATCTAGGTAAAGGAAAGAAACTCAAACTGGTATCCACTCACACAAACCAAATGGAAACAAGGCCATTCCCTGTGCAGCTCATGGCACTGCTTCTTACTACAAACGTGGCAACTATTATCTTTTCCACATAAACCCTACCTTGCACTGTGTGTGGATAAACCTTTCTGGTACCATCAGCTCACCCAGGTGCACCACAGCAGACTCATGTTGGTTGTGTGAAAGCATTATTACAAAACAGCGGAATTCACACAGGAGAAAAGTTTGAAGCTATGGTTCCTATAGCCAAAGCCTCATTGCCATGAGTTTGTCCAGAAACTTTAATGCACTTTGCGCAAATGCCCACTTGAAAGAAAGTGCCCTCACTCTCCTCAAAAAGACTTGGTGTAGCACAACAGCGGTCTCTAAGTGACATCACATTACTAAAAATTAAACAGTACACACTAAATGCGTATACTCTAGTTTTATATACTGATGTGCATTGTCCCTGTCAAATATCTTATGTTAGTAATATCACAGTATCTTTTCAGTTAATTGCAAAACTAAATGCACACATTACAAAATTAAATTTTCTCTGAAAGTACCCTTTGAAATAGGAAATGAAGTTTAGCAACTGTTAAATATAACTCCTACCTATGTAATTTTAAGCAATCAGAAGTCCTTTTACAGTAGGCTGCACATTCCATAAGCCTTCCTATGTGCAAGTGAATAGGCATTTTCATATTGATCTGATATGTAAGTGTTCAGAAACATGTCATCATAGAAAACCACTACCTCATCCCTGTATTGGTCTCAGCAAGTAACAAGATAAGATTTATTTCAGAAAGGTCATAATACTGTTATAACTTGTGTAATGATTAACAACTGTACGAGGTTTTGAACTCTTTTTAAAAACCTAATCTATATAAAGCTTTGAAGCTTTACACAGTTAATGCTCAGAATGACAGATTAGTGATGACTTGCTCTCTTTTATTCTAAATAGAAAGACAGCTCTTTTCACCTTCCAGAGATAATCTAAGGCAGAGAGGGTCATGCCCTGAACACATGCATACACACACAGTTACTATTTTTAGAACTGTCACTCTGGAACATCACAAGTAGTGAATTTTACAACTAGGTAAATTAATACCCAGAATTTCCTTGTAAGAAATTTTAACTCACTCTTCCCATTCTTTAAAAGGAAAATCCCATAACATCTTTAGCCTTCTATTAAATACTTCCTTAAGAAAATTCAAAATAAAAATTAATTTCTAAGAAAACTATGTATTCCACTTTTCCACAAAACCTAATGCTTCAACCCAACTGAATTCCTAAGTGAGTGTTTACTTGTATTTCAACTATGAAAGGCAATGCAAAATGTGTGATACACAAATATTATTTTCAGCAAATGACCACTTTGCTGTGTTACTCACAGGCTGTCAGATACATAATGCAGTATTTCATTTTGCTGAAAATACTGAAAATCCCTTTTCAAAAGCTGCTCCTCATGATGTCAGAAGGCCTCCCTGAAATGAGGCACAAAAAGCTCTATACCACTTCAGGAACAGACACGAAATCAATGTAAATATGCAACAGGAGTAGTGCTAATTGCAGGGATGGACCCGTCATCAATACAGACGTGCAGGCTGGGCAGTGAGGAGGGGCTGCTTTGTCACAGCCTCAGACCACATTCTAAAACACAGATGATTCAGAGCCACCATGACCATACCGTCGCCTCCTCAGCCTCTCTGCACTAAGCCTGCACCTGAGTAATGCCATTAAATACACACTGTTGCTAGCCAAATGCAATTATTCCAAAGGTACAATAGCTACTTGGCAGGTGTAAGTAGAATAAAGCTGTTGTTCAGGGTAATGAAATACTTGGAGCATCCTGCTACATCACTGACAACCCTAAAAATAAAGAGTCCTTCCGCTAGGAGTTTCAGAAGAGCTGAAGAAGTTCTGAACTATTTGTAGTTTGAGGAGCACACAGAGAATAAGTCACTGAAACCAACAAATTATTACTTGTTAGAACATAAAAACAGTAACCAAGTGTTTTTGAAAACTTGGTGAGAAATAAATATAAATAACATTCACTTTCTGGGCTGAACCACATTTGCCAAGTTTCCACCCACTCTTGACTTCAATGCCAAGCTATAAACCCCTATAAAAATAAAGTTTAAGATGAAAAGGCTGCCAGGCTGTTAATCTCCACAGTGCTACTTGGAAGTACACAGAAACATCACCTGACTTGCTTCCATAGGTATATTTTTCCCTTATTATCACTTTCCTTTTCTGATCACATTAGACTACACAGCCATGCATGCACTCCCTATAAACAAACCAGATTCTAGTCACTTCGACCACTTTAGTAATAAAAGGTTGCCATTAGCAGTTACACTGGATGGAAAAAATGTGCATTACTCAATTCCTCAAGATTCTTTCCTTCTCTAACACAGTGCTATATCTGATTCCCTGTTGCTCTTTGGTAACTATGGATTGGTTACCAAATCTGCAGGGCTGAACAGGAGCAAGACTAAGACAGACTGGAGATGGAGGCTGGCACTGTCCTGAGACACAGGCCAGCTTGCCAGCAATGCTCTAAGAAGAAAGGGATACAGGAGCCACAAAGCTTCTTTGCCACCAGCATTTAGCCTCAGATCTTCCTGGGACAGGGCTTTTACATTTGCATCCTCTGTTTTCCACATTCATACCCAATTACAGTCTTTCCCTTGTTTGCTATTGTTCTACTCAAACTGAGGATACGTTCAGAGCTCTTGTAGTCCTATACTGATTGGAATATAAAGCTGTACTGATTGGACTATAAATATCTGAGGACAGAGGAGCAGGACCTTACTGGGAAGGAAGGGGTTCCATGGATATGTACTGTCTACATTCAAGTACTGCTGATAAACTACTTCTGCCAGCAATGCCTATGGTAGTTAAATAAAAGCTGGTTCAGGAGGCTGTTACCTACCTCCATCTGTGGTGTGACCACAGCAAAAGACATTGCAGTGTTTTCATTTTCTCTCTGCATCACTCACTTGGTATACAATTCTGCAGTTCTTTGCTTGAAGAGCTTATTTAAACCAAGTACAACAGCACTGTCATATTGCAGAGCCACCCACTCTTCTGAAGCCCATCACTAGGTAGGCAGAGACTTGTGTCTGGACAACAGATACTGTGCTAAGCTCAGCAATTAGCCCTGAGAGCACTCTAGAATAGCATCGGCCCTTCATTTTTCTATACCTCCCTACAACGTCACTACCTCTACAAGAGTCAAAATCCAACATAATCCCCAGAATGGGAGCAGCAAGTTACTGTATTTGAATATTCTGTTCTCATCCTATAACGATTACCATGTGTGTCAATGTATTTGAACTCCATACTGAGTTAAAACTTCCTGGATCCAGCACAAAAGGAATTCAGTGCACCCTTCCCCTGTGTGATGCTCTTAACCTCTAGCCCAATCTTCCTTGCACAGTCAAGCAGCTGACGCAGACCACAGCACAATAGCTTGGGGTGGTCTGCATGCAACTTTCCATTTAAAATAAAACCAGCTCAAAAGATTTAAAATAAGATTTATTTCTCCACCTTCCCTTCCCCTCACACTTTATTTGCACTGAGTTGTTAATAGGAACATTCTGACAAACAGCCCGTTGGGCATTTAGGGCTTATGCGTGGCACTGAATTGACTGACAGCACTGGCAACCAAATTCCTGTGCACAATAAGGGATGCAGCAGGGAGAGCAAGAGTGTAACACGTCTCCCAGCACTGCACTGCAAGCGGGGACACAGAGGACCCGCCAGCGTCCATGACCCAGCGTGTCCGGAACTTTTCAGTCCCACAGGCACACAGGCACTTTGCCCCAGAGTAAGAAGAAGCTGGTAAAGAAACGTTTTGTAATAAGTTACTAGCCGGCAGAATTGCCATGCTTCAATTGTGACAGGATGTCACCACCCAGGGCTGTTCTCCAGTGCTTCAGTTTGCTTCTTTGTTTTATTTATTATTTAAAACCTGGTGATCATAAAAGCCATTTCTAGCAGTGGTCATAGCCAAGCTGGGAGAGCTCTGAACTCTGGTATACCCTGCACTAAGCTTAAGACAGAAAAGTTCCCACAATTTCTCCTGGCTTAGAACCATCCTGCTCACTGGAGCAAGACTTGAACTTTGGAGCCATGCTTGGGGGACAAAGCACAGCACCAGCTGCACCTTGGAGAGACAAGGCTGCTGCACTACACCCAAGAGGGTGCCCTCTTGCTTCTGCTGCACAATTATGAACTACCACTTTGTAAATAACAGAACCACTCCAGAGCACAGGAGGTGCTTTTAAAGTGGTAATTTCATATATTTTTCTCTGTAATTGGGATAATTACTTCTTTCTTTTAATCACAGCCCACTTAACCACTTCAGTGCAAAGGGCTGATCTGAGGAGTCTCATTTTCAGTCAGCATCTAATCTTTGTATTTACCCACAGTCATTCACTGACTTCAGTGCCTGATCTCTGCCTAGGCCACTTGTTCCTGCACTCAGAACTGGAGGAAAGGCAGGCTGACCAGAGAGGCAGATGTGACAAGAAGCTGTAACTTTTAAAACCTTTCTCCCTACTCCTGCAGGACAGCAGAGAACCTCAAAATAGCTATAGAGCACAT